ATATATTTTTACATCTTTTTTATTTTTGTAGAATGTATGCTTTCTCATCTTGGTATAGTCCCCATGAAATCCCCACCACTAATTCACCCATGTACCATCACTATAGTTCCTGGTCAGTAATAACCTCTGGATTCTGGAATAGAACATCAATATTCTAGATTAGGAATAGATCAGTATCTGTGGAACAGAGCTGCCCTTTGGAAACAACCTGTTTCTACCAGCAATTCTGCTCCTAGGTATCTACCCAAAGGACACAAAAAATCAATAATTCAATAATTCAAAAAGATGTGTATCCTTATCGCTGCCATATTTACAATAGGGAAAATGTGGGATCAACCCAAATGCCCAAAAATATATGACTAGATAAAGAAGATGTGGTGTATCTATACACAATGGAGTATTACTCAGCAACCAAAAAAGATAAACGCTATCAGCTTTCTTTTGCCTTTCAAAGTGCAATGTGAGGACTGCATGGGTGTCATAAATGCTTAGAAAGAATGTAGATCCTCAGGCTCCAGACTAAACCAGAATCTGCGTTTTAAGGCCCCTGGGTTATCTGCACATTCAAGTTTGGGAAACACTTGTACTTAAAGCTCCTTTACAAATAACATCAGTAGGAATTAAACAACCTCTTCTCTCAGTCAGATGTCATGCCTAGAAATACTGACCAAGGCTTTAAGTGCTACCTGATTCAGTTTTGCATTTGTTGCTCTGTTGAGATACACAAATGGGAACATAAAAAGGATGGTAGTATTTATAACTACGGACTGGCCATTCCACTTATTCACAGACTCTTTATGAGAAAGGAATATAGTTTCTAACACATTTTTAAAAATTCTTCAGAATTACAAGTAATCTTTATGTATTTTTTTTTTTAGCTTATAAGTATATCATCAGGATAAGTACAGATATTCTCGAGCTCAGAGACAAGTTCAATGATTCAGTTCAAGTGAACACTTCTGACCTCATCCCAAAGGAAGCCAACTCTCAGGAAGTCTTTGTGTTTAAACCAGAAAACATCATTTTTGAAAATGGCACGGATCTCTTCATTGCTATTCAGGCTATAGATGATGTCAACCTGAAGTCAGAAATATCCAACATTGCACGAGTGTCTCTGTTTATTCCCCCACCAACTCTTCCAGAGGTACCTACACCTTCTCCTCCTTGTCCTGATATTCACATCAACAGCACCATTCCTGGCATTCACATTTTAAAGATTATGTGGAAGTGGTTAGGAGAAATACAGCTAACCTTGGGCTGAGATAAATAAGCCATTTATTGTTTTCTGGGCTATCAAATTTTCTAAAATGTATTTTAGATTTCTTGTAGAGGACAATGCAATGAAATAAAATCCAAAACAACTGGATATGGATGTGTAACACCTATCTTTTCAACTCCAAAAGCTTAATTATTACTCAGTGATTAATGATTCTGAATACTAGAAAGAAGGGGTGCTTACTTCAATAAATGGAAGCATGTTTTATTTCACTTTTAAGGAATGTTGCTAGTTAAGGAATATGTAATTACATATGAAAATGTCAGAAATGCTCAACCAATTCAAATTATTAAAAACTAAAAGACATCACTTGGTATAGAGGAGCTATGAATCAGAGTCATTAAGATGATGTGTTGCTTTCCTTAGATTTGGACAAGGATGATGCACCAAATCTAAAGAAAGGGAGAGATTATATTGAAGGAAATAATAGCATGGTAAAGGCAATCATCAATTCATAAGAGCTGGTAAAGTTTAACACTAAAGTAGTGTGAGATGAGGTGTTAAAGTAGGTTCAGGTCAGGTGTGAAGGGAAAATAATTGACAAATAGACATTTACTGTGCACTTTGCTCCAATGATCTTTTATATGCATTATCTCATATAGTGCAATTCAGTTCATTCAACTGCCTACTGTATGCCAGGCAAATATTAGGTATTGAGTATAAAAAATAAGATTTGGCCTTGCATATGTGAGTCATAAAGAAAAATTGGTAATTTTTAAAAATCAGATGGCAGATATAATTAAAGCTATGTTTGAGACAGAGGACTTTGAGAGCACATGAAGGGTGAGTAAAGTTAGGAGTGATTATGGACACTAAAGATGAAAGAGGGAGAAGAAAAGGGGAAAAAAGGAAACAAATAGGTTTAGCAGTATGGCAGATCCGATCAAGTACCAATCACAGATTTCTTCATTTGACTGAGCCTCAACTCTTGTTGAAAGGTTTCTTTTCCTGTAGAAGAGACAGCTCCTTCTCCTATAACCCTAGTGCCAGAGTTGGTGGGAGGAGTATTCTTAAAGCTCCTATTTGTAATTTCCAAGCTAGGACTTTACTCCTATGGTCTCATATTGTTTTATTTTTTGAATTCTCCATCCTGTGCCACTGACTCATGCCACATTTCTCCATCCTGTGCCACTGATTCATGCCACACTTCATCCCTTCCTTCACAATCATCTACTCATCTCACCGAAGACATAGCCCTGAGTCATAAGACTCCTCTGTCTATAAATTAGGTTGTCTGGTCTCTGAATCTGTCTGGGTGAGTCAATCAATATCTCAGCCTCAAGATTCCTTGCTTTATCTTCTAAACTTCAGGAAATTGTGTTAGGTCACAAAAGTGCCTTTTTGTAAATTAAAAATGGGAGAATAGGCCCTCCCTGGTGGTGCAGCGGGTTAAAGCACAGCACTGAGAATCTAAAGCCGTTTCTGCATGAGTACAATTCCCGCCTGCCCTGGAGGTGACCACATACCACATGGTGTGGCAGACCTCTCCTGACCCGCCCGCTGCTCCCCTCAGCAGTCTACTTCGTAGATCTGCCTGTTCTGTTCCCCACTCTGTCTCTGGTGAAACCTCTCACCCCCCCTGAGCCTCTGGCCTGTACCCCAGTTCTGTATGCACACATAAATAAAAAATTTTAAAAAAAAAAATGGGAGAATACTGGCAATTCAGGTGGTTTGACCTAATACAGCCCTGGCTATAATTTTGACACACCAATGACCTCAAAAAGCTCCACCTATGAAATCTAAAAAGTCAAAAATCTTATTCTTGTCACAACATCCTCTGAGTTGTAGACTTACTACCCTATTGAGCTGACTCTGTAACTTCAACATAATCTCTCATCATTTATCTCTTTTCACTAAGTCAAGAATCACCTGAATATATAGCCCCTGTATGTCACTTCAAATATTCCCTGACAACACCTTCAATTACCTTATCTACTTATCACACTGCTCTTAAAAATCTCTAGCTTTTCACTAAGTATATTGTAAGTGTGCTTATGTCATTCATTTATCCATTTAATGGATTTCTTGAAGTGCTCACATTATGTCCCAATTGCTATGTTAGATTAGGATAAAATGGGAAAACAAGCCAGGTATGGCTTCTGCTTCCAAGGGAATTACAGCCAGCTGGCATACAAATAAGCAAACAATTATTAAGAAAGCAGAGGATGTAGGCACTATGTTAGGGGAAGCATCTATTTTAAGAATCAATGGTTTGGCAGCTAATCCACATATTACATCTGCCAGAGGAAGTAATGCTTCTCATGCTGCAGTGTCTTCATATAAAGTATAGAATTATGAGGAAAAAACAAGCCAAAGAAAAGAAAGAATATGCCCCGAATCAGTGAGGTCAAAGTGTGTATGAGTGTGAAGCTGGACTCCTGACAGTATCTAGTATGTAAACAAAGCTGGACTCCTAATAGTATCTAGTATGTAAAGTGAGTAAAATTTAACTGTAAAACAAAACAAAACCAAATGCTATTACATCTTCTATCTTGCACAAAATCTTCTGCCAGATGCCCTCTGGAGTGATTCTAGGAATCTAACTCTTCTCACTTACTTGATATCTAATGATATAAATATCAGCAAAATAAAATATAAGCATAAAGTATAATTTAAAAAATTATACTTTAAAAACAATACCAGACATATGGCCTCAAGTGACTTTACATGGTTTCAGACCTTTTGAAGGAATGCCACAATATTTCCAAAGATCATGTTTTCTAAGCACATTTGTAACAGTGAGTAATACAAGAGAAAACAATCAACAGAACTATGTTCAAGGAGGTTCCCATCAAATTTTCACAAAAACAATGAAAGTTGACAATCCAGGTAAGAATTAAAAGAATGATGTTAGGAAATTCATTCAATTAGAAAGACAGCAATGTTTAGTTCCTGCAATTGTGAAAGTTTATTAAATCAGGACCAGGCATCCCATGTAAAAATGGGAACAAATCAAATTGTTCTTCCTATCCTATTTTAGTTGTTAGTAAAGATAAATCTTTTCTTAAATTTCAATGGTAATTCAAATCCATAAGGGAAAAAAAAAACTCAGAAAACAAACAAAAAAATATGTCAAAAGGTATAAATTCCTATATATATATGTAACAAAAATTTAAATACAGAAAGTACAAACAATAAAAAAGTAAGTTTCACGACCTATTTTTACTATATTTCCAGGGTCACTTCCTAGGGCTTATTGTGTATCATTCCAGAAATAAACTAAACATCTACCTGTACACATAGATTATATGCTATGTTTTTAAAACACAAAAAGGAATGTAGTATACATACATTCTTGGCCTTATTTTTTATTTAATATTTCTTAGAGATCATTTGTTTTCAATTCAGAGTTGCCTCAGTCCTTTTCATGGCTGTGCATATTACATTATGTGTACATAAAATGTACAAATTCCTATGAGTCATGTGGATATAATGTACAGCACAGTAATGATAGTTAGTGATTCTGTGTTGTATTTGAAAGTTGCTTAGAGAGTATATCTTCCCAGGCAGAAGGGAAAATCCCTTCACTCCTCTGCGTTCTTGTACGGTAAACAGCACAGATTAATATCATGCAGAATTGTGATACAAAGTTCAAGTATAATTACCTCTGTATCAAGAATTTACATTTAATCTAAAATAAATTTAGCAACTGAGGATTTATATCAAAGAATATAAAAGGAGTTTGGAGCATGAGAAGAGAGAGAAGTAGTTCACATGAGGGAATGACTACATGAAAAGCTTTGCCTGGAGTTGTTTGCTCTGCCTGAAGATGGATTTCTCTGATAAAAAGGTTATTTTCTAGATATTTCCCTCAGTCTAGGTTATTCACATTCTTTAAGGTTATGGTAATAGTTTCTTCCAGGCCTTGTATAGCCTCCATTGACCTTTGTTCCACATACCAAGGTACCATATGCAGGAAGAAGCCAGCTCTGAACATCTTGGGAAAAAGCCTGTGAATTTTTTTTTTTTTTTGGTAGTGGTGGGGAGGGGACAGAATGACCCTACAACATTAAAGTAATCATCACAAGAAAAAAAAAATCAATTTTTTTGTAATGCTATATGGGAAGAGATGTTAACTAGACTTATTTGGCAATATATACAAATCTTGAACTACCTGAATTAATATAACATTAAATGCCAACTATAGCTCAATTAAAAAAGTAAAAATCATGTGGTGAGCTATAGCATGGACAGAATGATTCAAATGGCAGAAGGCATGCCACATTCACATGTGACTGAGGCAGGCACCAGACCACAGCTAATAACCACCCACAGGATGAGACAGTGGGACCCAGGGCAGTATATCAAGGATATAGGACACCAATTTATCTAGTAAATCCAGTAAACTAGACCTTACTGTCTAAGGCATGGAAAGAAAAATACACTACCACCATCATCCCACCAACCAGGGGTTGGGATGTGATGGAGAAAAAGAGGAGGAGGAAAGAGAAGTGAGCAGGATTTCAGGGCCTTAGCCAAGAAGAGAATAGAGTTAGATCACATCCAACATTATTTGCTGTATTATGTTTTTTTTTTTAAAGGTTCAATAATCCAAGTTTTTTTTTAATGTTTTTTTTTTTTTTTTTTTAAGATTTATTTATTTATTCATACAGAACTGGGGTACAGGCCAGAGGCTCAGGGACGGTGAGAGGCTTCACCAGAGACAAAGTGGGGAGCAGAACAGGCAGATTGACGAAGTACACTGCTGAGGGGAGCAGCGGGCGGGTCAGGAGAGGTCTGGCTCGCCATGTGGTCTCCTCCGGGGCAGGCGGCAGGCGGGAATCGAACTCATGCGGAAGTGGCTTCAGATTCTCAGTGCTGTGCTTTAACCCGCTGCGCCACCAGGGAGGGCCTGCTGTATTATGTTTTAATAATAATAGCAGCCCCAGTTTTTTTTACTAAGTTCTAGGCACTAAGTATTTTTACATAATCAGATCACGGCCCCCATAATATTTGACAATCCTAGGGCAAAAGTACAAACAGAGATAGTATCTAAACATGTCCACATAAGTCAG